ATCAACAAATATACAGGAACTCATTCACATCTCAAAAGAAGCATCACAATGCAGTCATATATACTGTCTCATTAATATTCTGAAACCATATATGCTTGGCATAAGTTACAATTGAGCTGTCAGTGTAATTGGCAACAGTTAATTATTTGGCATTATTCAGATGAAATAAGATAAGCCTTCTCACTTCCCTTCATTTTTTTTAAGTGTTTTGTCAGTGTCAGTCTGTCATCAGCGGCATAGAGGGAAACCAAAAATGAATTTACGGAACAGAAAGCACAAGCAAATTTGAGATTTGGTCCTAGTTAAGCTGGAATTCATGAACAAAACACAAAGAAGAGTAATCAAGGAACTATAAAATGATTCTAACTTTTCCCATTGTGGTAGAAAAGGACTTGATTTCATTTCCCCCTAAATCAATAGAAAGTCTTGCAATGGGATACAAAACTATTTCAGAGAACATTGCTATGAAATAATAACAGAGAGGAATTTTCAACTGTTCTGTCTTTTGTTCTCTCTAAGCCTCCCTGTTTCCCATTCATGATTCAATCCAATGCAGAAGGCATCTGAGAGAATTTGTCTAGTGGGGACTGTTCAGTTCAGGAAGCAGAAGCAATCAACAAGACTGGAGAGGAACGTGTAAAACACATGTGAGAAATAGTTCAGGTTTAAGGTGATCCAAAAGTTCTACCTGGGATGTTTCATGTGCCTTGAAGAACCCTGTCATAAGTTATGCTGACAGCTTCCTGAAACTTACTAGAAGCTTCTTCTGTGGTTATTGGAGCTACTGTAAGGAACAGTCAGAACAGCTGAAGTGAAGCAATGTGGCCATTTCATTTCACTTTTGGAAATAAGGCCACGTGGCTTCAAAAACCAACTTTTCTCAAAGCATTGTCAAAGCAAGGCTCCCTCCCCCTTTTGAGATGACCCTAGTGAGTAAGGAGGAAAAAATAAAAAGAGCAGCAGCAGCATCTCCCACCTGGCCATAATAAAACTCAAAATGAGGTCAAACAAGTTCAAAAGCATTCTGTAAATGAGGCAGAGAAGAGGAAACCTCTTTCATGAAAAAATATATATGAAGAAACCAGAAAACCTATTAATTAAATGTATTTTCTAGCTTTAGAATAAGTGCCTTACAATTCATATCCTTATCATCACTAACGCCATCACTACCACCATCATAATCTACTCAAACCCTTGGTTTTTTTTCGGTGACAGAAGCCACAATATCCGTCCTCGTGCTTCTGAAGGCCATGGGCAATAGTTAGTCAGATAGCAGGGAAAGAGGACATGGGTATCTTCCAGGTCATTGTCTGAAGTAAAGCTACCAGTAAAGTTACAGTACCAGTGTGACTATAATGATGCTCACAATACTTTTTAGAAGCCATTAGACCCAACTTGAAAAATTGACCAAAATGGAACAACTGAGCACATAATGCAGTGGCTTTATTTCATACTGTGCCTTTAATCAAGTGTTGATGGATACAGCTCCAAATCTTAAGGCTCTGAAAATAATTGGTTCTCCACTGATGGCTAGTAATGACCCTGTACAAGATCCCTAAATCTCCCAAGAAACTCTCAAAATCTATTATAGTTTATATAATGAAGTTTAGGGGTAGGATATTTTCACGTTATTCTCCAAAAGCACATAAACCTTTGGAAGCCCATCAATATCCTTTGGCTGTTAAATGAAATTTGGGAAACTATAATCAACCTTCACTGCTTTCAAGGGAAGAAAAGTAACATTTTCAATAGCTGCTCATCTCGACACATTAAGACATTAGTTTTACTTAAAAAGTAAAATGACCAAGTAAATTAAAAGACTATATATAAGTTGGTTGAATGTCAAGCTGAATGAGAAAAGGTCACTAATGCCTAGCATGCAAAAAGGCTACGTCTAAATTATTATATAATAATATGATTCATTGGGTAGTTGGTAATTTTTATGCATTGTATAAAATCTGTACCATTTTCCCTCTTCTAAACAAGTTATATTGACTAGACAGAGTGTAGATGGGTACTAGAATATAAACTATGCTTCCCCATTTAGGTAACTCCCCCTTCCCCCAAAAAATAACTAAATTCATGCAGTGTTTGACAATTTATTTTTATCTGACAGAATATAATGATTCATTACTCTTTCCTGCAGAAAATTAAAAGTTTCTGCTTCCAGGTCATTTGGCAACTGCCAAATCTGGATAGTGAGCATTTGCCAACTTTCACTGCTTCGTAATGAATTAGCAGTCTTTTTTCACTCAGTCAATTGCTACTTGAAAAAAGGTTAATTATCATAAAAAAAAATCTTTATTCTCAACTTCTCAATATCCCTAAGTCTATATATAAGCTCAGCTACACTGACTGTAGGTTACTTAGTACATTTAAATTAAATAATATTTCCTGCTTGTTCCTCTTATCATCGTTTTTCATTCCCCACAATCAGGTTCAGAGATATACAGGTGCAATTCTTCCTGCAAAGCTGCCAAAGAAGGACAAATAAAATTTTGTACTGCAATATCTGTAGAATTAATTTTTATATGCATCAGGTTATTTAATGCTACATCTCTGAGCATTGAGCATCCATAAGCCTAGATGATATTAAGAGCCCCTATGCCCAGTTGAATTAAATTTAAAATATAGCTGAAATTTCATAAATTAGTCAAGATTTTGATAAATCTGTTGAGACCTAAGGAGATGTTGGTGTTCCCCCTCAAGATCACCCAAGGTTTTGGAATTATCTGTCAGGGATAATACTGCCAAAATCTTATCAAATTTACATCATTTTTATTCAAAACATCGTAGTTGGTCATCAGTCATCCAGATATTTAGGCTTGATTTGTCATTTTCATCCACCTGTCGAGTCCTGCCCAAGGACTGGGTTAGGCAGATGTTATTCTTTAATAAAGGATGTAAGCTGTTCCAAAGAAAGCTGCCTTTTGCAATTGACTAATGTCAATGCCAATGTTGTTCAAATGATGCCCCAGATGTTTTGGGATTGTACCTGAGGAATCTTTTACTATTGATACTAACTTTGGTTTCTTTTGCCACTCCAGTCATTCTACATTTTGCAGGTCTTTAAATTTTGTGATCCAATTCTTTCTCTTCTCTTCTGCTGCCTCCAGGTATTGCAAAGTCCACTATCCAGAGGGTGATGTGTGGGGTTTTTTTTGCCCTTATTGACAATTGTTAAACCTGGAATATCATAGGGCAGGTGCTTATCTCTTTGAATTCTAAAGTTTGAATTCTTCACTTTAGCTTCTTCATTTTCTATTACTTTGTCTATTTTGAAGTCCTATCATTTCTGGCTTTCCGGAAAATGGTATTTCTTTCAGATATTTCAATGCACCATTGTTGCTACTTTATGATGCCATTGTTTGCAGTCAGTCTGGGCAACTTTCTTATAATAGCTAATTAGGTCATCCATAGTTTCTTCAGCTTCTTTGCAGAGATGGTATTGCTATCTTCTCAATTCTGGCTTTGTATGCCTTTCTCCTTGGTCTTATGCAACCTGAATTGTCTCTTTTATCTCTTCAACTTTCCAGCTCTTGGCCATTGCCAGTTCTTATTGTTATCTACTTTCCCTGCTATTTGTATTTTCCATGTACTGGCGATGTAATACTTTGTCATATTGTAATATTTTGTCTTGCCATTTCTCTTTTCTATTCTTCATTTCATCTTTCTTATAGGTCAATTTTGTCTCTCTGGTATTATTTTAGTACTCACATTATCATATAAAATTATGTGGCAATAGCAGCCCTTCTCAAAAAAAGGTTAATCCATAATGCACATAATGTCATCTACTTTTCAGTTCAATAACACAGAGACATCCTTTTGACTAATGTATACTACCCTATGCAATACCACTATCAAGAATTACCATCTACAAGAAGATTTGAGTGTAAGCAGACACAATATTTGTGATATATTTTAAGCTCTGAAGAATGTCACCTTCCTGAGGTTCTTCATCTCATTCATCTGCTCCCCATTAATTTCATCCTCTCAATACAAGAACAACAACAACAAAAACAACAACAACCCTCGAATCTAGTACTTTAAAAAGAGGTAACAAGCTGTGCGCTCCTGAAAAACATGTAAGGAAGTACTGTTCTCTTACCAAATACACATGAGGCAACAGCATGATGTGGCCATAAAAAGACAATTGATCAACATGTAGTTTCCAAATCATACAAAACATTTTCAGCTCTACTTTATTTGTCAATACTGACATCAAGAAACAGACAGAAAGATGGGACTTCCAATTTGACAGCAGGTTTTTCCTAAATTATTCCAATGAGTGTTATTTTGTTTCTTGCTATAGGTATATATCTGTTTATCATCCATGGTTGTACATGCCATTGCATAGCAATGGTTGTTATTGCTGACAGGCCATGGGAAGGAAATGTATCAAAAAAATTTTTTACATTCAAGGAGGAGGTAATCAAGTTAGCCAAGGAGGCTTTCCACCTCCTTTGCATATGACTCTTATTAGCTTTCAAGGAAAAGGTTGGGAAAACAATTAGAAGTTAAAGAAATTAGAAGTTGAAATCAATTACCTAAATAGTTCATGAATTTTCTTTCACTGGATGTGTTGAAACAGAAGCTGGACAGCAAATTGTGAGACTTGCTTTGAACTAGATTCCCAAATAAAGTCAAAAGAGAAGAGGTGTGGACTTCAACTCCCAGAATTCCCTAGCCAGTTGATGTCCACACCTGTTCCAGCTGTCAAGGTTGAGAAACCCTAACTTAGAGGATGCCATTTCGTATTGTACTTCAAGAACAATGTGTTGTAATATGTGTGTGATTTGCATGTGATTTAAATTTTTCTTCGGTGAAAAATACTTTCTAAATTCTGATGTTCAAATATACATGTGACAGTTTTACACATACTGGAGATGATACACATTTGAGATGATTGTCATTGAAATATCTCCCTCCGGACAAGTTCTAATACTAGCATCATCAGAATGGAATGTATATAACTCAGATGTTATTTATTTACAACTAACCTGGAATCGGTTGAGGTGTTAATACCACTGTCGGAAAAGGCCTGGGGGCAGTGGCTGGCCTAGACACTGCCACAGCTACTTGGTTTGTTGTAGCAAGAGGCTTTTCATGTCCTTGGTAGATTCTTAGTTCCTTGGGATGAATCCATGTTGAATCAAGAGCAAATGTGTTGTTCAAATAGATCTGCACAGAATATAAAAAAAGGAAATATATCTCTATATAAATACATTTATTCATATAAATAGAATCATCCCCATCTGTTAACCACTAGCCTGTGTTTCAACAGGATTTGTGAAAACATATCTAAGGTTGTCTACATGTGTGTGTGTGTGTGTGTGTGTGTGTGTGTGTGTGTGTATGTGTGTGTGTGTGTGTATGTATGTGTGTATATATATAATCTTATCTGTTGGGTAAGGCACCCGGTCTACCAAATATAAATCAGTCTGTTCTGTGTTTCGCTCCAATCTAGGAGCATGTTTTGCAGGCAGACCTCACATACTGTGAACACTATAAATTCAAAATTTTGTGGCTGACAAAGAGTTATGAGAGACTAGTATAGCTATTTCAGGGTCATTTTGCCCTCATCAGCTAGTCACACCCTTCAGGGATTCGAACCTGGGCAGCTGCCTAACATGCAATCCCTGAAGGGTGTGATTAGCTGATGAGGGCAAAATGAGCCTGAAATTGCTATACTATAAAGATTCATCCTTGGAATGTGAAGACTGAGTTCAAATATTCTTTTGTGAACACGTTTGTAATCTGTCCTATGCTACTTTTGGAACTGTGGTTGATAAAGGGGAAAGAGACATATCAGAGCATTGGGGTGAAATGGTCTCTAGAAGATTTTCGAAGACTTTCCGTCTTCCCAATCTCTGGAAATATTTTCAAATGAGAAGCAAATAAACTGGAAACATACAAGCAAATTGAGATGGGTGGCATAAAAATAATATTAAATAAATAAAATTGTAGTTTCTCCCTTTTAGCCAGAGGAGTCTGCAAGATCGAAGGCTTTTATCAACATGACAAAAGCAGGGTCAAACTGTTATATGTGTGTAGTGACACACATGGAAAGCGGCAGAGTTTTTTGTTGCAACAATGCAATGCTGCTTTTTTCACTTGCTGGCACACCCCTATTCTTGGCTTCTACATTTAGTAATCTTCATTGCTTTCAATGAAGCTTTCATCTCCATAACAAATAAAATTGTCCTATAAAGGCGAGGTAAGTAAAAGACCAATTAAATTTAACAAGTTCAGTTTTTAACCTTGGTTAATGTAAGCAAGGATTAAAAGCATTTGGCTACAGCAGGCTCTATTAAAAACAAATGGAGGGTTTTTTGTTGTTGCTGTTAATGTACATGTACTGATTCAGATGAATGTATTGATGTTAGGGACTAAATGAATCTTAATTTCAGGCTTTGAGCCAAATGCCAGTTTCTGTCTCTCAAAAGGAAGCCTGCCATGTCACAGAACAAACTCTTTTTTAAACCAAGAAGTCATATATATGAGATCAGAATCTGAAGTTCAAAGAAAACATAGCCACTAAGCATGTACAAATTCTCAAACACATTTAAAACTGTGGTTTCGATTGTAGCCTTCTGCATGGTCTAACATGGTAATTTGCAACAAATAAAATACTCTTAATAAATCTACATAAGATAAAAAAAAAGATGCCCAAATATGTAAGAAGTCTTTATCAAAACTTTATCAACTATTAACTACTGGAAAATATTTTATAGAAATATAGTATCAAGAATAGGTTCTCAAAATGATGGATTCTTGTATTGGCTATGGATAAAAATTATTGAAGGACATCCTAAATTATTTTCTACATGCAGACATGCACAAATAATTTAATTCTCATACTGCTGGACAACACTGTTTCCTATTACAACAAACTTGTTACCTATTACAACCTTAATCATGAAAGATATGTGAGAAGCCAAGTCATCACATTTTATTTCTTTAATAAAGCTCAGATTCAGATGGAGATGAAGTTGTTCTAGTTTGATTCTAATGAAACGTATCAAATGTTCAGAAACTTTTTGGGTACAAGTGTACCAGTTCAGTTCTGGTTCCCATGAAGAATTTAAATATAGTGCTCATTACAATGATAATTGTTTTCAAGAAGAATGGATTAGTGAACATGTTTAAAACTGTTATTGCTACATATTGTCAAGTATTATGAAGTCTTTGAATTGATATATGATCAACTTTTTTCAGGAATCAATCTGGAAACATCTTACAGTATTGACTTACTTTCTACCCAAGTTGGTGAAAAGCACTGGCAAATATTTCCATATTCTTTCAAGATAACTGCATGATTACATCCATATAGTCAATCACAGTCAAACTTGTTTCAAAAGCATCTTAATGTTTCTTGTGCACAATTTACTAGGCACATCAAAGGACCAGAATCTTTGCACTATTGTTCACATATTGGCAGACCTTCTTTGATATCTGTTTAAATGCTATTATATTTTTAGGCTCAGTGCAATAATATAGGATGGTTCACTGCTCTTTCTCTTACTTGATCTAAGAACTTTTGCTTCTAGTTATATATTCATTACATGCAGTATTTTGTGGTGATAATTTTTTTAATCATGGAGAAGTAACACCCTCCTCCATGTGCCATTCTGGAAGTAGAATACCCTATGCAAACTGTAAAGGCATGGCACTTTTTTAGAAGCAGCAACTTCAGCATGCAGTCAAAACCAGACTAAAATCAGAAATGAATGTTTAATTTATTGAAATACAGTGAATAGGATTGATCTTCAAGTAAAATAATAATTATGCCCCTTCAATCTCTATTAATCATTCATCATTAACTATTTTAGGGAGGGAATTTGAGAAGCCACTCCTGAGGCTTTCAGATTGTTCTTGCAAGTTCCTCCTTGCAACTGAAAGCTCTCCAGACTCAGGATTGCCTAATCTGAGGGTTTCTTTGGGTATCCTTTGGGCCATAGAGAAGTTTCATCATTTTTTAAAAAAATTATTATTCCGTTGCTACAGTGCTACCAAATAGTTGCAGTATCCGATTCCACCAGAGATATGCTGTTGATGTTTTTGTTGCTGCTTTCGATGTCTTTAGATCAAAAATTAGACTAGGCCAAATCAGCAATGTCTTTCAGCTTTTAACAACCACCAACAAACATGGCGAAAAGCTGCAACCTATAAGTGTACAAAATGGCACTTTTTTCCTCTTTAAAAAGGATGCGTAGTTGTACAATCTTTGGAGGTTCTTTCTGCCTTAAAGTAGTTGCAGGTCCACTTCCTAGACCTAAGCACTTGAAAGGTCATGAAAAATAAAAGGGTAGGTAAATACAAAGTACAGGTAATCCTGGACTTATGACCACAACTGAGCCCAAAATTTATGTTGCTAAGTGAGACATTTGTTAAGTGAGTTTTGCTCCATTTTATGACCTTCCTTGCCATAGTTGTTAAGTGAATCATTGCAGATGTTAAGTTAGTAACATGGTTGTTAAGTGAATCTGGCTTCCCCATTGACTTTACTTGTCAAAAGATCGCAAAAGGGGATCACATGACCCCAGGACACGGCAACGGTCATAAATATGAACCAGATATGAACCAGTTGCCAAGCATCTGAATTTTGATCATGTGAGCATGGGGATGCTGCAATCATTTTAAGTATGAAAGACAGTCATAAATCACATTTTCCAATGCCCTTGTAACTTTGAATGGTCACTAAATGAACTATTGTGAAACATGGACTACCTGTATTTTAATCTTTTTTAGATCATTTGTTGGATTGAATTTGCTTTTAATTTTAATTTACATATTTTTATTTTAATTAGTCTTAACAAAGACTTTCAAATTGCTCTATTGGACTGAAATAAAGATCTGGTCTGTATTTTTAAACTATCTTCCATTAGGATCTCTGGTCAAAATTAGAATGTTTGTTATCATTCCTACTAGTTGTAGATTTAAATAGCTCACAAGTTTAATATTGAATGTTAGACCAATTACTATTTTAATACCAGTATTCCTCGACTCACGACCACAATTGAGTCCCAAAATTCTGTTGCTAAGTAAGACAGTGCTTAATTTTGCCCTATTTCAGAGCCTTTTTTTTTACCACAGCCATTAAATGAATCACTGTAGTTGTTAAGATAGTAACATGATTGTTAACTGAACAAGGCTTCCCCCATTGATTTCGTTTTTCAGGAAGGTTGCAAAAGGTGATTACATGCCCCTGGGTCATAAATATGGGTCATACAATATAGAACAGGATTCATAGGGTAGAGTTGGAAGGGACCTCGGAGATCTTCCAGTCCAATCCCCTGGAAACCCTATACATTTCAGACTTGGTTGCCACAGGTCTGTATTTTAAATACTGCATGCACAGAAAACCTTTTTGTTTCACCATTAAAGCAGATTGAGGTTATTTGTAATTTTCAGAAATTGCTATTTCCAAAGTCTTCCAAATAGTAGAAGTAGACTTACCTTGTAATTTGGTAATCTCTTTTCTATCCAACTTTTCCCAGAATGTGGTAGAGCAGTGGTAGTATACACATGAGGAAAAAGAGGAACAAACTCCACATTTGAAGAAGGTGAAAATCCAATTACTGGAGAGTGAGCTCCAAACATCCACTAAAATAAAGTTTTGAACAGTTAGAATTCTCAATATTAAATCATACTCTATAGCACTTGCAAGGCTTTTTTCATTTTTAGTTCTTCGCTTGTATTACAAGACTACTTGAAAACACATAGTGTATAATTCCATGTATATTTGAATGTTTCCTTCAGAACACGAAAAGGTTATAAAATGCATGGTTTATGGAACTGAACTATTACTGTTGTTTACTTATGTAACAATGGGAACAATGCATAACTCATGATGAAATAGTATGGCAGTTGATCAAACTTGCCCATCACATGCAATGTGTTTGAGCTAATATTACATTTGGTAAAGGTAGCAAACCAAGAGAAATATCTGAATCTGAGTAAAATAGCAGAGAAACGTATTCATTATCATCCATTATTCAGGTGCAGATAAAAATGCCATTCATGGACAGTCAAGCACTTAATTAGACATGTAAAGAAATGGAGAAATTGTAAGGTGGAGAAAGAGAGATTAACATTTTTTTTAAATAAAATGTGGATAATAGAAAATATGAGTAAAAATAAATCTTCAGTTGGGAAGGATTTTACACAACTGATTTGAATTTATCCCTTACCATAACTTCACTTTAAGTCATGGTCCCCTGTGTAATGCACAGCATCTTGACTTGGTGGCACAATGGATTGAACAGAATTACATGCCATGAATATAGCTCTACTGTTCCAAATATAACCATGAAAAACTGTAGGACTTCATTGATTGGGTGGATCATGATGAGCTACAGGTTATGTCCCTGAACAAATGTAGCAGGGACTGCTTCATATTCTAATCTATTCTTACTGTGAAATTTCTATAATGAGTTTTTCAGAAAACAAGCCAACGACAGTAGTATAAACATACTGTTATCTAAATAAAAAGATTTAAGTGATCTAATAAACAGACAACAAACAAGGTGTTTTTCATACAAAAGAAAAGCTTTTTATGAATTGAAATGTTCATATCACCATTCTTTCTTAACCTTGCATTATCATGAATTACCAAAATGTTCATTTGCTTCAATGCAATAACATTTTTAATCCTTCATTTTTTTTAAAAAAAGGCCTTCACTCACTAAGAAGCTTTGTTTCTACAGTATATTAAGTGCCAGCATATGTTTCTAGCTGTTTTTACTGAGAAGCTGAAAATAATCCAACAAATTTAGAGCTCATAATGTTTAAATAAAATAGCATCAAATTTGTGTCTGAGGCATTACAAACAATAATTCCACAATTAGTATATAGATGAAGAAATCTAATGTACAAATTTAATTTTAAAGACAAATCTCAAGCTAATCACCTAGAACTATTTTAACATTCACTTTACAATCCTGATAAATAATTGAAGCATTCATTAAAACATGCTAATGAGATGTATTGGTTAAATTAATATTTGATCAAGATTAGTTAATGTCTGCTACTGAACGTTACATCGGATTAGAAGCTACTGGCTATATTTGTGGATCACACTATTTTTCTTTATAGATCTGGCCAATAATGTCTCAGTCAACCCAGTCAAATCAATGGAAAAAAGGGTTGTCCCTAATGAGAAGATTCATAAGTAACCACCCACACTCTTCCATTATTAAAATAAACATTTTGCAGATTTCTATACATGAAAGGAAACACAAGTTTCTAGTCACTAAATACCTCTAGTGGCAGCATCCTGACATAACAGCTTTGGAGAGAGAGCTATGTGGAAACCTATCTTCTTTTAAATCAGCTTCTGTTCTGAAAAAATCTTTAAGAACTGGGGGGAAATACATAAAATGTGTTGCTTTTCCCAAAATTAATTAAATGCACACAACAGCAGAATACATAATATAAGATTTTGTTTAACCTTGTGGCAAATAATATTATTGAAATATTAGAATAATGATTACCTTGCTTTTATTTAGATGAGTTTAATACAAGGTTCCAATTTAGGGTGATGGGAAAATAGATACTACATGATGAATTTTAAGAGAGTCTAGTGTCTGGTGATTATTAGCCACTTTGTGAACAGGAATTCATCTGCAGTAGGCTGATTCATGTCACTTAGGGTTTTTTTTCCAGTGGGGATTGCTATAATAAACATTTCCAAATTCTGTTGCTTATTGTAAAATGTATTTTCTGCTGTTCGGACAAGTAAGATGGTATTAGCAGGAGCTTGTGTTCAAAGAATCAGATTCTACTCAGTAGGAAGTCGGTACAAGTACATTATTATAAATTAGCAGCAAACAGCCCTCAACTGTCAAAAGACCGCAATCTTTTTTATGAAGGCAGTATATTGGGGGAATATGTTTTCTATACATGCAAGCTCAAAAATGTGCACTGTTTATGTGGTTTAAGAGTGGAAATTACAAGCTCAGCATTAGCAATAAATGTTTATTAATAGTTAATGTAGTCTCTCCCTCGCCAGGGTTTTTAAGTCATGTAGAAAGAAGCCACAGCTCTGCCGAAGCAGAGACTCACGTCCGCAAGTAGCAAAAATGAAGCAGACAACTTCAGCACCACGGCTCTTCGGACAGCGACTGAAGTTGCTTCTGGCGCTACCTATTTCCTACACATCCTAAGGTTATCTTCAATGTTATCTTCTTTTCCACTGCCGCGGCTCCTTCTTTCTTTCTTTTGTGTTTAAACGATTTATACGGCGGGGCGGGGGGGGGGGGCAGACCTGTGTAGTCTGTGGAAGAAGTCAAGAAGCGCTCGCCATCAAAAACCCTCATCAAAGAAACCCGACAAGCGCAGATGAAGAACTGGAGCGGCGGAGTGGCGACGGCTACCGGTTAAGGGACCGAAAGGGAAAGGTAGAGAAAAAGTCGCCTTCCTTACCTGTCCATTCAGGAACGGAAGCTGGTGAACAGTCGAGTGGTGCTCCGATGCCATCAGAGGCACAAAAGGATCGCAGGGAAGTTGCCAGCTCGAAACCCCCTGGATCAACGGGGCCGGCGGCGGGGGAGGAGGAAGAGGAGGAGGCGAAGAGAGCAGCAGCGGAGGGGGAGGAGGGGGCACTAGCCCGGCAGCGCCTCCGATCCGAAAAAGCCCAGACGCGCTCGGGACCATCCAAATCCAAGGGGGCGCTGGGGGTTCCGCATTCCCGGGCCACAGGAGAGGCTGCTGCCGCTTGGCTCTAAGCACTGGGCGCATTCTACATCTTACAGTACGATCCCACCGCTCGCAGGAGGGCGCCTCCAGCGAAGGCAAGCAGCGGCAACAGCCCAGGCACAGGATTGAATCCGAGGCAGCTGGAGCAAGGCGGCGATGCCCATCAGTGCCCCCGCTCGGGAAGAAGGCTTCGAGCGGAGGCGGAGGCGGAGGCGGAGGCGACAGCGGCGGCGGTGGCGGCGGCTCAGGAGCCGGCGAGGCTCCACTTCGTTCTGTGGCGCTGGTTGGAGCTCCTCCCCCTTTCGCAGTCCCTCCTGCCTTGACCACACCCCCGCTGCCGCCGCCGCCGCCGCGGCAGGAAGCCCAAAACTAGAGAAGAGTCTCAGCCCTGCTGCAATTGCCTGAGTGACGAAGAGCCCTCCGCCAACTTCTTCCCTTCTCCAGTTGATCCAGGACGGACGGAGGCAGCCTTTTGCTCCTCGCCGCAGGCGGAAGGCGACGGAGTGCACCGCTCGAACGGTGGCAAGAACGCGGGAGGGGACTCCGCAGGGAGGGAGGGAGGGAGGGAGAGAGGGAGGGAGGGAGGGAGGGAAGGAAGGAAGGAAGGAAGGAAGGAAGGAAGGAAGGAAGGAAGGTGGAGGGGGAAAAAAAGGAAAGGAAGGTGTGTGAAGGTGGAAAGTAGAGAGTAAGGCTGATAAAAGGAAAAGTATAGAGTGAGCCAACGAGCCAAAGAAAGAGAGAAAGAAGAAAGAAGGAAAGAAGAGAGAGAGAGAAGAAGAGAAGAGAAGAGAAGAGAAGAGACCCACCAATTTAAGTCAGCCAGAAGTCTCCAAAGCACTTGCAGATTTTCCATTGCCATCTACATCTACATATGATCTCATATTCCTGGGAGACACTAACATTTCCACCTCATTTCTTTAAAACAAAACTCTCAAGGGAAGGAGGGAGGGAGGGAGGGAGAAAGGAAGGAAGGAAGGAAAGAAAACAGGATAATTGCAGAAGGCAATTGAAGGGGAGGGGGGACAGAGACCCAACAGAGGATAAAAGTTTGTTCATATGAAACACATGTGACAGTGGAGACCAAAAGATTCCTATCTAAGTGGACTCTAATAGAGCTGTAAACATATTTCTTGGAACAACTTAAGAAAAAGCAAAAAAATGCATCCCTGTTCCAAGTGGACTGCCCCCCTCAAAAAAAAATTTCTTTCCAACAACCATGTTGTCCCTCTATAAAAGTTACTCTATTTACAGAAGGCGGGGGGGGGAGAGAGAATGAGGCTATTGCACTTTTCTTTGAGAAAATAAAGTTTCTGTTCTAGGAATGTATCCAATGTACTGTATACAATTTTTTTTGCCACTTCTCTATACCATTGGAAGCATCTATTGATTCTAGTGTTTTCTATTTCCAACAGAAGAGGCGTGTGACAAAAGGAATAACACATCACATAATACTTATTTACTTATTAAAATATTCCTGCTAGTACCCCCCCCCCCACATGTGATCTCTTTGCATTTCATTGCATCTTCTACCCTATAGAAAAAACCTCCTTCGGTTTTTGATTTATTTCAACTATTTAATTAATGTATCTTACACATGTAGTTTCTGACACTGTCAGATGGAAGCTTTTCCTCACAAACATCAATGAATGGGGAGCCTTTTGGTGCTTCACCTCTGTATAGAACTTCAAAATACTGTTTCCAGGCCAAAATTCCTTCTTCATTCACTCTGAGTGCCCAAGAATACCATTTATTAAAAATACGAACATTTTCAAAGCCATTTACTTCACATCCCCAGTTCTCCACCAGACAGTGATGGATCATAACCTTATCTTCAGGAAATATAATTAATAATTAAAGATGATAGAAATTGTTGTTCACAGCCTTTGGAGGAGGGGCATTTTTTTTTTTTTTGTTTTCCTTCATTAGACATTTCTTCAGACTCAAATAAATAGCAGATATTCTGGCAGAAGGCTAGAGATTAGTTTTCCATGGTGCTACAGCAAGACCGAAAGACTTTAGTTCAGTGCTGATGAACCTCTTATTCTATGATAATTATATACACCAGTCTTCCCTCAGGAGATTTAACAATACAGGTAGGCTTCGACTTATGGCTGCAATTGAGCCCAAACGTTCTGTTGTTAAATGGGTTTAGCTCCATTTTACAGTTTTTCTTGCCACAGTAGGTAAGTGAATCACAGCAGTTGTTAAGTTAGTAACATGGTTGTTAAGTGAATTCCACATTGACTTTGCTCGTCAGAAGGTCGCAAAAAGGGATCCCATGATCCCAAGACACTGCAACCATCACCAATATGAGCCTGTGGCCAAGCATCTGAATTTTGTTCAACGGATTTTAAGTGTGAAAAATGGCCATTGTAACTCTGAACGGTTACTAAATGGTTGTAAGTTGAGGACTGTCTGTATAGTTAGCAGTTCCCATATCTTCAGTAATCAGAAGATCTTTTGCAAACAGGAAATAAAAGCTCAGGAAAAAGGTTTAGTATGTGGTTCAGTAGTGATGGATAACAGGGAAAAAAATGAAAAAGGACTACAGCTTTGCTCAAAAAGCTTTAGTCCAAGGGTAGGCAACCTTGGCTCTTTTATGACTCGTGGACTTCAACTTCCAGGAATTCTGGAAGTTGAAGTCCACGAGTCATAAAAGAGCCAAAGTTGCCTACCCCTGCTTTAGTCTGAAGACTGATGTGATTTGGAGAAAGTCTACAATAGTCAATGATCAGCAAGTAAAGGAAATAATCTTTACAACATGCCAGGACCAGGATACATGGGACAAAGGTAAATCATGCGTACAAATATTTTAGAAGTTAGGCTACTCATTCATGCAGCCCAGTCTTACTGATATAATATTGTGACTTTCCTCATTGTGAATTATTGACCACTAGGTGAAAATGTAGAGATTGAATTTCAGGCCTTCCACTCTTTGAAAACAACATGTATACTTCCTTACTAAATTTTGTCAGTAAATTTTAGCAGTAGCTGAAAGTTCTATATAGGCAAAGACTTTCTTAACGCTGTGCCATTATTTTTTCTCATATGTATGCACATATACGCATTCCTATACATCTGCCTCACCTGTGTCTTTGGTCTATGACAGTGATGGTGAACCTTTTAGAGACCGAGTGCCCAAAAACCTCCCCACTCCCTCCCACCCCCACCTCTGCTCCTGCTCCTGCGCTTAATAAACAACATGTTGTCTGGGTTGATTTTTGCCTATGACAATAATCTTAATAGATTTTGAAACTTACAGTGTTTGTTTATTTATTTATTTATTTGCTAGCACATGGAGCCTAACCATTCAAAATTATTTGATATATTATGAAGATGTAGAAATGGATTGTCAATGGCAGTATACACATATTATAAGAGCCGTGGTGGCACAGTGCTTAGAATGCAGTATTGCAGGCTAACTCTGCCCACAGTCAGGAGTTCGATCCTGACCAGCTTAAGGTTGACTCAGCCTTCCACCCTTCTGAGGTCAGTAAAATGAGGACCCAGATTGTCGGGGCCAAGATGCTGACTCTGTAAACTGATTAGAAAGGGCTATAAAGCACCAGGAAGTGGTATATAAGTCTAAGTGCTATTGTCATGCCTCCATCCGAGTCTGACTCTGAGGATGACAGGGAGTTCCCTGTTGAGGCCCAGGAGGGGGTGTCTGTGGCTTCAGAGGACTGTGGGGAGGAGCAGGCTGAAGCAGGCCAGGGCCCTTCAAGTTTGGAACAGGGAAGGCAGAGCTCAGGCGAGGAGCAAGGCCCCTCCCCACCAGATCCCAGAGCAAGGAGAGCAGAGAGGAGGAGGGAACAATGGAGGCAGGCTCACTTGCTCGGGAGTGCAGTAGGCATTCTTCACACTTCATAAGATCAGATACTAGATCAGATTGATACATTTAGTTTCTTTACCATTCCCATTTTGATTTTGTCCCTTTGTGGTCTATATCACTCTCTCTCTATCCTTTTCCCCCTGCTGTTTCTTCTATTTGTTCACTCTTACTCTTCACTTATTGCTATGACATTTATTTTCTAATTGCAAATCAGTATATGCAAAAAAAATTGAATCCTGCACCACGTTCTTTCCTTCCTTCCTTCCTTCCTTCCTTCCTTCCTTCCTTCCTTCCTTCCTTCCTTCCTTCCTTCCTTCTCTCTCCCAGTCCCTAAAACATGGTAGAATTTTTGAATTTATCTAGGGAAATAAAGATTAGGAAAGTTTGGAACCTATAAAAAAGGAAACATCTTCAATGTGCTAACGTACAGTATAAGGGCTACTTCAAAATGATCTGGCTGTCATCATCACATGTATTGCTCCCAGAATGTTAAATCACACTAACTGAGCCTTTGGCAGGGAGAGCCTCACAAAATATAACTTCTTGTCATGGACAGCCTAGAAGACTGATCCCAATTCCCTTTATTATCAAAATAATAGGTTTTATGGGGAAATACAGAAAGTGAAGCAGATAAAGCAAGGTACTTCTGTTTCAAGCTGGTTCAGGGATTTTCTTCCTCTTTGCTCACTGATCCTTTCTCAACTTGGAGTAGATGAACTGGGCTAAGATAAATTACAACTTTCTCCAGGCTTAATGTTTCTGGCACTTTTATTATGACTAAATCCTTGCTGAATTTTTGATTCTACTCTAAATTATTATTTTTTTTACCTGGGGAAAAATGGTAAGTTAAAAGAACCGGTTGCCTTTGAACTTACTTTATTTTTATGCTTACAGCAAATCATTTTACTTCAACTTTTTTATTCTCTGTTTATAAATGATACACACATACAAGTATAATAAGTTCATATTTTTTAATGACAGAGGTCAAAGTTGCAATGGTGCAATCATGGCTCATTTCCTTTTTAATGTGACAAATGCAAAAATGGGTGTAGCTTTGATTGTGCCAAAATGGCCACCACTGTGACATTTTCAAGTACACCCTGCGAATACCCCTGTTATAAAATCAACTTATGGCAGAGGAAGATACAGGGAAGGAAATGATGAAGGGTTTAGCCTGACTGCTGTTTATTTTTGCAGCCAATAATCTCTA